TCTAGATAGCATATATAAAGAAAAATAATCATCATTAATTACAGTTTGCAGCATCAAAGTTATTCTTTAAGCTACTGATATTCATAGTTAACATACCAAGATTTATTCCGTGGGGACTAGATAATGCCAATACCTTCACGATTATGCTTGTTATTCATGACATTGAGATGACTTTTAGCATGACCAAATTTTTGTGAATAATTCTGTAAAGCATAAAATTTTACTTACTTTGTATGGTCTTTATTTGGGAGTTCAATGTTATTTAAGGATGTGATAAGATCAAGCGTGGTAGTGATATTTTTTGTATTATTTTTATATGGTAAAAGTGCACTCTTGTTAATTGATAAAGGAAATAATTAGAGATTAAGGTCGGGGTTTTGCTTGAAGCACTTGGTTGATTGTGGAATTATCAATATTGAAATAGATTTGAATTTTGAGATACAAAAATGATGTCAGGTACAAATGTGCAATGATACAAAAATGTGACTGCATTCCCACATAGTGCCATCTTACATATTATTATTATTATTATTATTATTATTAATTATTATTTATTTTCCTTTTTGGTATTATCCATATGGTATAAATGCATTTCATTCAAGTACAGTACAGTACTTTTATAAACATGAATTAGCAACAGGCAGGCAGGCAGAGAGAAAGAGAGAGAGATATCAAGTATAGATATAAATATAGATTAATTGAAAGGTTGATATGGATAGATACATAGCTAGATAGCTTGAACCTGCATCTATTTCATTGTGTGGTGTTCTTATCAGTTACACATGTTCTATGTTTGATGACACTACTTAAAGTGCTTTTTTATTTTTTTTTACAATAATTGGTTTGAGTTGTTGTTTGTATTTACTTCAAAGTGTTGATAACATAAGAAGTACTTGTCATTGACCTATAAAACCCTAGTGTTTTATCTTGTCTTGTGGTACATTATTTGTCTTGTTTTTTACTGTAGATTTTCATAAAGTAAATGATGCTATTCACTGGTGTTTGCAGTTATGACTAGTATCGATCATGACAGCTTTGGTGAATAATTTTTTACAGTAGTTGGGAGGATAGACTTTTGATGGCTGACTGATATCTGGGAACAGTGTTGTGTAATTGTTTTCTTATCTGTGATTCAAAAATAGCAGTGAGTGTTTTGTCAAGGAATGACAAATAAAGGGAAAGGGTTTTGAATAATGATCCGAGATGAAAATATTGTTTGTGCCTCACTTTAAGGGAAATATTTGAGCTTAGATATTACTTAACTTTATCAGAGATTGCTGTGAGTGGGATGTCGTTGGGCAAATTGGAAATCCATGACATGATATATAATTTTTATTTAATGAATGTTATTAAGTAATCTTTATATATTGAATATATGTATTCTGACATGTATGCATGACAGGGTACTTCATATTTATGTAATTAATATTATTATGATTATTAAGTAATCTTTCATATATTGAATATATAGCTTCTGCTGTTTTGATAATCCTTGAATTGATTTTATTAATTGTTTCACTAGAAAAAAACAAACTAGAAAAGGCTCCTTGAAAATTTGTTGATCTGTGCAAGGTTGCGTAAGAACTTGCATCATCATAACCTGGGAATGGAATCACAGTTTTGACCAGTTTGTAGAAGACTCATTATTTAAGTATAAGGATATTCTTAGATTGGGTCTTTAGAATCACTCAGTTGAGTTTTATTTTTCTCCAAACAGGTGGTGACAGCTCATCAAGCGTGTTTGCTGGGGACACACCAAGCTGGTTTAGTTCATAGCAAAGGAGCCCTCACTGCTACCCGTGACCTCCTCCAGCGCTGCTCGCCGAATGACACCAGCACACTCAACAAGATCAAAGTGGATGACGTGAGGTAATGATAAATGACGTAGAAAGATCCTTGGCTATGAGCGTCATATGAAAAGTCACATTCCGATTGTGGTTAGGATAAATACGGTATACTCAAAAGGGAATAATGTATAAAGCATATGAATTCTTCCAGCTCTCGCAGTGTATGCCCTGTCAACTTTGTATCGGTGCAACTCGACGAATCGGCCATCAGTGGAGCAGTTGCTGAATTTGGCCAGGTTCGGCTTCCTGATACCATCACTCATCATTCATCGCCAGTTATCCCAGCCAAGTGAGTTGTAGTGAGAAATTATGGCCTAACAAGAGTGTATTCAACAATTTTTAGGATTTTTTACCATTACAACCTTTTTGGTCAGTCATTTATTTCTAAAAGATTACTGTAATTTAATGTGAGCAGAGAAATAAGTCATGCATAAGGATCACATCTAAAAAGACAGACAACAAATAAGCATAAATAAATAACTAGAATCTAGTTCTCTTGATTAATACATCTCTAATGGCTTTGTGTAGTACTAGGAAGGTTACATAATGTGAGGCCTTCTACATAAAGAAAAAGAGAAATAGAATTAATTAATAAGTTCAAAATGTTTATCTTCAAACAAAATAGAGTAATAACAGAAAGAAGTTAAAAATGACTTTTATTATGACTGATGCATCTTAACCTAAATTAGTCATGAAAGGGAGAGGAAGGCATTACCACATTACCATTTACAGAGTTGAGGAATATGAAGATGCACAACACGATGTCCTTCACAAGAGTGTAGCAGGAGAATCCTCTGGACCCGATTCCCCTCTGCGCGTGACTGTTACTTTCCCTCGGTTAACAAACCAGAACTGGCTTGCAAAGGATAAGAAGACTACAGGTTTAATCCAGTCATCCAAAGCATATGTAAGTACCTTTTTATACATATTTTAAGAAGTCTGTTACTTTTGGGAAAAGTAACGCTCTCTCTAGAAGTTATCTTGAGATGTGAAGTTGAATAAGAGGGAAAATATGATGGGGAAAAATTGATATTGGTTTTAGTTTAAGAAGAGAGATATTGGATAGAAATGAGAAGTCAGGGTTAAATAAGAAGGGAATGCAGCTTGGTAGGATTCTCAAAAAAAAAAAAAAAATTGAGTGTTTGCATGTTTGTATATTAGTCTTTTGTATTATTGGTGTGGTCATTCAAATTCTGTTAGTGTTTTGTAAAGGGTGCTGTAAAGACCAGGTGTGTTTTTCTGACCAAAGACATTGAAATGTGATATCTAAAGTTCTATTATTGTTCATCATTCCAGTCTCATTATATATAATTAATTCCTGTTTAAGCTTCACTAGAAATTCATTAAAATGTTTTAAGGATATTGTTCTTTTGAAATGAATGGATTTCATACTGTTGATAACATTAACTCACTGCTGATGAGAAAATACAGTTTTCAGTTTTTTTCTATTTTTTCTTTCATTCTTTTTGCTTTCCTTTTGGGTATGAGCTTCTGTGCGCAGAATGTCTGCAATTAAATGGCTTTACATGTGTTCATCCACCAAGGAGTCAGAGTAGTAGACCTCATGAGCTCGTCTGATTTGATCTTTCGTTGAATATTGATGCTGTTATTTTTATTATAGATATAATCATAATGTCAGTAACATTACTAACAGCAATATGAAAAAAGAGAGTATTCCCAAGAATAAACACAGTCAATAGAAACTCAGTGGCCTTGGTATGACTGCACACGCCATCCCTGCGGTATTGGGTTAATGATTATTGAAAGAACTGGAAACGGTTTATTTTAAGAGTATTGTATGACACTTCAGCATTTACTCTTGATCTGGTACTTATATTATTACCATCGAAAGCATTACCTGGCTATAGTATTTTCCAAGTAGCATTTAAGATGGAGGCTTATGAGTGTGTATATAAATAGTTACTTATTATTTTATGTGAACCGTTACTTTATTTTTCTTTTTTAATACTGGTACTTAAATTATTTTTTTGGTTTTAGAAACTGTTACTTAGAATTTTATAAGGTTTGTAAAATGATATTTATATGGCAATGTTAACTGTTTGTTGTATTATTTCCGTAAGTTTTAACTTAGCCTTGCAAATTCTCCCGTTCTGCAGATTGATAACAGAATGAACACGCACGGCCAGTCAGGTGACATCACCTCATGGTTGAGCAGCCTTCAACTAGCTGGGGCGCAGGAGGAAGATGATCAGCCATCCACTCCTGGGAGTTTAGACAGCTATGACATTGTAGGCAACCGTGCCCACTCTGTGCGGACCTCGGAGTGCTCTAGCATTGAAATTGTCCCGAGCCACTATGATTCTGAGAAGGTAGGAAAATTTTTGTTTGTATTTTCATTTTTGTTCAGTATTATTTTGTGCCAAACTTCCTCCTTTGTGTGTTTTATTTCTGTATGACTAAATTAGACTGATTCACAGGAATGATTTGGTATAAGTTCATATTTTGCCTTCTAAATTAATGGAAAAGATAGATGACTAGTAAAGTTATTATTTTTATTCAAATCTAAGATGAGGCTAGAGAAAGTATGTGATTTTGTTGTCTAAATCTTAAGTACTTGTATATGATTGTTTGTTAGTTTGCTTGTTTGTTTTTAGGAAGGCAGAATAGAACTAAAGAAAAGGGCTTAGATTATGCTGCAGTATGTTGTTAAAGGGGGTAATTGTTTTGTTATCTGTGCACCATATTTAAATTTCTGTATGGGTGAAAAAATTAGAATGTTTGCAAGTAATGTAACATTATAACCAAAACAGGATCCACATTTTAATTATTAGACAGCAGATTTGAAAGTTTCACATTGAACGTACTGTACACTGTTTAACTGTATTTTGTCACAATTCATCTACTTTTCCCTATCACTTGGTTGATTTTAGGCTTTTATTTTTATTCTGGCCAAAAAATATATGGGGAACACAAATAGATCCCCTTTTCCCAGTCTTTTAATTAATTGATCAGTACTATTTTGCTCATTTGGGGGAATTGCTGTTTAGTATCTTGATCAGAACAGATTGTGGTTTGGTTTATTGTAAATGCATGAAAAGTGAAATGCATTTTAAAATATTGTGGTATTCTTTCAGAATGACTTCAGTCCTCCAAGCTCTGTTTGTGAGATTGAAAACTTGCATCATTTTGTTGGAGAAAAGTCACGCTGGCTTTGTCAAGATAATTCACCTTCACCAAAGCTGACCTTGGAGAACATGAAGATGAAGTCAATTTGCCAGGCAAACGAAGCCTGCTCCACTCTTTCTGCATGTCTGTTCCAGAACAGCTGTGGAGAATCGGCGTTGGAAAAAGCTCAGCAATCAGCAGCTTTTAAAGCTCGCATGCGACGCAAGAGGACCATCTCCAAGACTGGGGGTGCTGAGGAAGTGCTGGCTCACATGATGGATATAAAATCTTCAGAAAACTCTCAGTGGCTCTTGAAGCAAGGAGGAAGTCCAGTGTTCCCCAGGCCAGTGAAGCGAGCCATGTATGAGTTGCCATCGGCCATGTGGCTGAGACAGACTCCTCCAGTTCCTAACACAAGAACACCAGCAGTTGTCCTGACTACTCACTCTAACATCTGGCTTCTTAGTAAGCTCAGAAGTCAGAAGGAGAAACTAAAGCAGGAGAAAGACGAATCAGAAATTGAGAAGGATGAGGATGAGAAGGAAAGCAGAATTACAACAAAAGACTTAGCCAATGCTCTGGAGAAGGTCAGCATGACCTCGGAGACACCCAGTTATTCAGTAGGAAGGTTGAGCCCAGTTTCAGATGCACAGTCATGGCTCTTCCCAAAGAAATTTGGCCATACTATACAGGCACCAGATAATAAGTTAGTTGAAATGGGTTATGAGAATAAGAACCGCTGGTTAGTTTATTCTTCCTTGAAAAATTCCACTTTAAGTACTGGAAGCAAGTTGCCCTCTCCACTTCCGGAACCTATATTGGATGTAGCTCAAACTGGAATAAATAACTGGCTAATGAAGAGATTATAATTTTTAGAAAAATTATTGTAATAACTAGTTTGCCTATATGCATATCCCAGCTGCTGGATAAAAAGTTAGGAATCCAGTGCTGGAAAAGTATATATATTGGACTTATATATTCACGTTAGAGAAATGTTAATAATTTTTATTACTGGTTTAGATTATGTTTATCCTTTCTCATACTCAGTAATTACTAAGTTCATTCAGAAGAAAATGAAAAATGCATCAAAGAATTGCATCCAGATTTGGTAATTTATTAGTTACTTTTTCCAGGGGATGACTGTATTTAAGATGTACAGGGAACAAGTACTGTTTGAGAGGAAAAGACACCACACGCATTTTATATATAATTTTTATATACATATTTGTAAACACTTCACATTATAATCTCTTTCTTATCTTGTATATGCATTCTGGATTATTTTACAAATAATTTCTTTTATATGTTATAAAAAGTTTATAATATTAGGAAATTCTCTTGAATTTTTTCTTATCAGCAAGCATTATAGTATGATGATCACCTATCAGATAACGCTGGATATGTGTTAAATTTAATTTTGTTTTGCAATATGATAGAGCCTGTGCAAGTAGGCTACATGTAAATGTTTTAGAATGTGAATCCCAAATTTCTGAAATGTTTTAGTTATGATTAATGGATTTCTACATTTTGTAGAAGAATTTTTAATGGAACATATTCCTTTTAACTTTGATGCTGCATAGAGTGACCTGGTAAATCTGCAATTAAGTAGATTAAGTTGCATTGTCAAATTGTGATAATGAGATAGGAATATAATGTGAAAAATTGTCATACCCACACATATATGTACATTCACATTTAAACACATGCACACACAAAAATACATAGGGATTTTTTTTTTCCAACTAAGCAAGTGAGTGGCTTAGTTTTTGTGTGTAATCTCAGGGTGGTGTAGACAAAAGCATTTTTGTGCTGCAAAGTGCGGTATCTGGTGTTTAAATGGCACATTTACCCCATGGCTGTCAGTAATTGTGAAAATGGGAAGTCAGTTTGGTAAAAAATATGCTATTTATAGGAAATTCTTTTACTTTGATGCCCATCTGGTTGACTGGATGCGGTGTTCATCAACCACATGTGGAGTATATGAAGACATGCTTTTTTATTAAGGAGATTTCATTCATTTGAAAGTCTGTTATTAAAGGAATTGCATGATACAGAGAAGGCCAGTGTGCCTTTTTGTATTTTGCTTGCCATACACTAGATAAAAAAAGGTTTCGAGATTAGTTCTGGACATTTTTTTTAAAGGTTTTAAAGTTTTTCAAATTACTTGCTGATGTCAGAAAGATGTTCTCAGTGCTGCCATGTTCAGATGCAATTATTCAAAGCCATGTAGTCCATATTTCATTCCATAATCATTAATATCTCTCAATAGTGCAAGGTATTCATGTGCATCGTAGGAGTCGGACATTGCACAGTACATATTTCACGATACTTGCAGCTTCGATACTGCTAGTAAATATTTCATTCCACAAATACCATGTTTAAAATATGTATCCGAAGCACCTTATAGTAATATATGTGGTTTTGATCACCTGAAATCGGTGTTCTGAAATTGCAAATTGAAATTGGACGTATGAAGTTATGAATATTGTAGATTAAAGCTTTAAACCAATAAAACATTGTGCAATTA